AGCCCGGATCGCGCGCGCTGCCACGCAGCCCGCCCTCTCCTCTCAGACACTCACAGTGATTGGCTCCGCCCCGCCCGCCGGTCCCATCCCTCTCGGGGGGTCCCTCCCAACTCCCTGCTCTTCCCGCCCATTCTCCCCCATCCTTACCCTCCCCGAGGAACTGATTGGGCTCCCTTAAACGGAGGCGCCCGCCTTCCGGGAGAATAGAGCCCTCTGATTGGCTCCCGGCATCCAGCCTGCAGGAGTCTCCTCCCCTTTGTTTGCTTTCTCAGTGGCGGTGGAGAACACGGGGTTGGTGGGGTGGTGGAGGCGGTGGGGGCTGTAGAATGAGCTCAAGCGTGGTCTGGGCGGAGGGCGAGGGGATGCACACGTGGCCGAGCGGTTCCAGCTGGGGGATGCGTGCTTTCGGTGCGCACCGCTTACTCCAGTGCTGGCAGCTTTCTTGGGCAGCCCTCCCACTTCTTTATTGTGGTGTGTCAGCTCCCCCTGGTGTCTGTCTTTAATCTTTGCAGGATTACTTTGCCTACTTTCTCGGACTACTCATCTCCTCCATCCACTCATGGCAGCTAACATTCTAACATTCTTCCATCTACCCGTGCCTATTTTGTTCCAGTCACTATGCTAGGGCGATGGGGACACAGACATGAATGAACAGGACTCCTGCCTTCCTAGTATACTTGAGGAAACACATAAATAAGTATGATCCCAGGAACGCTATAATAGAGTTATGACTCAGAAGACAAAGCAGCTACTATTAGGGTTTTGCTGAGGTGGGGGTGGAGGAGTGCAGGCTGTCCAGAGGAGGGGACATTTGAGGACAATCTGTATGAATGGTGGGCAGAAGCTGAGAAAGGGCGTTCCAAATGCAGAGAAAGGCAAGGCACAGCCTGTTCTGAAGTGATTGTGGGGGTAAGACAGCAGGAGAGAGAAGGCTGAGAAGGAAGACTGGAACAGTGTGAAGGGTTTTGTATAACAGGTAAAAAGGAATGAGCCAAACCGGTTTGGCTCAGTGGATGGAGCGTCGGCCTGCGGACTGAAGGGTCCGGGGTTCGATTCCGGTCAAGGGCATGTGCCTTGGTTGCGGGCACATCCCCGGTGGGGGGTGTGCAGGAGGCAGCTGATCGATGTTTCTCTCTCATCGGTGTTTCTGACTCTCTGTCCCTCTCCCTTCCTCCCTGTAAAAAATCAATAAAACATATTTAAAAAAAAAAAAGGAATGAGACTGAGGCGCTTCTCTGGAGGAGGACACATGGATCCAGTAGTGTTCCTTAAAGCAAAGGAGTGGCATGATGACATTTCTCTTTTAGGAAGATAATTCTGGGCAATGTGGAGGGTACAGGGAGTGTAGCAAGGCTGTTGTAGCCTAAAGCTAATCGACGGGAGATGATGAACCACAGAGTGGAGGGAAGAAGAGAGGCCAGGCTGAAGAGTTATTTCTAGGGCAAAATTGACTGGATTTTGGGAGGAGGATGGATGACTGACATTCTGGATTTAAGGAGCTACAGTATTTCTTCTTCCATCTCCTTTTTCATACTCTCGCTATCTTCTCCAAATGAACCAACTTCACACTCCCCCCTCCACTTTAGTATGCAACAAAAAGTAACACACACAAGACTGTTTCTGAGATCATCTTCTTTTGTTTTGTTTTAAATATATTTTTATTTATTTTAGAGGAGGAGAGAGGGAGAGAGAGATAGACACATCAATGATGAGAGAGAATCATAGATCAGCTGCCTCCTGCATGCCTCCTACTGGGCGAGTCCCCACCAATCTAGGCACGTACCCTGACCAGGAATTAAACTGTGACCTCCTGGTTCACAGGTCGATGCTCAATCACTGAGCCACTTGGCATGGTCTGAGATAATCTTTTTTTTTTTTTAATGTATTTTGATTTTTTTACAGAGAGGAAGGGAGAGGGAAAGAGAGTTAGAAACATCAATGAGAGAGAAACATTGATCAGCTGCCTCCTGAACACTCCCTACCGGGGATATGCCCATAACCAAGGTACATGCCCTTGACCGGAATCGAACCTGGGACCCTTCAGTCCGCAGGCTGATGCTCTACCCACTGAGCCAAACCAGTCAGGGCATGAGATCATCTTTAAGGTTTAGACACAGGCCTTGCCCACCAGCTGCCACTTCCCCATCTTCAGTTCTATCACCAACTTCTACGTTCACTGTTCACCTATTTCAATATTTAAACATTTCTTGTAGACTTATCAATCACTTTTGTCAAAGGGTCATGACCAGAAGGTAATGAGATCTTTATTGCTACATATCTAAAGTGGTTTTGGAACTGAAAGGTAAGTGGTCTGCATGGAATGAAAACTATTGTATTAAAAGATACTAATAGAAAGACAACTTTAGAAAGATAATAAAGGCCAGGAAGAATGGAAGAGATATGCCCTATTCTAGGTGAGAAAAACCATTACTATAAAGATGTCATTTCTTGCCCTGGCTGGTATGGCTCAATTGGTTGGAATGTTGTTGCATAAACTAAAAGCTGGTTTGGTTCCCAGTCAAGGCACATGCCTGGGTTGCAGGTTTCATCCCTGGTCAAGGCATCCAGTTGATGTTACCCACATTGATGTTTCTCTCAAATCAATAAATACTTAAAAAATCCTTTAAAAATTTAATTTCTCTGAAAATTGTCTATAAATTCAATGCACATCAAAAGAACAATGGAACTAGTTTGTGCACAAAGATAATCTAAAATAATACCAGTAAAAGCATAATATGCTACTTAGACCAGACGACTTTCTGGACAAAGCTGGGGCTGCGAGGGAAGCCCGGGCCCTGGGTGCCAGAGGGAAGCTGGTGCCAGCAGCTGGGGGAAGGAAGGCCTACTCTTACACAAATTTTGTGCATCAGCTCTTTAATCTTCTATAATAATAAAAGTGTAATATGCTAATTAGACCAGACAGCTGAACGTCCTTCTGGACGACCTTCTGGACAAAGCTGGGGTTTTGAGGGCCAAGCCCCATGCATGAATTTCGTGCACTGGGCCTCTAGTTTGAATATAATAAAAGTCAAATTCAAGGCTGAAGTGCAAGGGTCTTCTTTTTTCTTCTCGTACTGCCTTCTATCTAATCCTTCTTCGAGTCCTGGCATTCTGCCTCCAAAATACATTAATCCATTGGGTTATTTTTTCTTTCTTCCTCTATTTCTCTATCTCCAGTGCCGTTTTGGTCCCAGTCACCATCTTCATTTTTTCCCCCCACCATCCTCTCTTACCTGGCCTGTTATGATAGCTTCTTACAATGCCTTCTCCTCCTCCTCCTTCTCCTCCTCCTCCTCCCTCCTCCTCTGGCAGACGCTCAAGGCAGGAGCTTCTCAGGCGACAGACACCCTCGACAATTCACAGTCAGTCGTCACCAGCATCTCTCGTCCCGGCTTCCGCCACATGAGGAACGGTAGTGGGGGTTGAAGTTCAGAGAGGAACGGAGAGACAGAAACATTTCCTCCTCCTCCTCCTCTTCCTCCTCCTCCTCCTTCTAAATCCTCACCGGAGGATATGTTTTTTTATTGATTTTAGAGAGAGAGGAAGGGAGAGAAAGAGAGAAACATTGATCAGTTGTCTCCCCTGTATGCCCTGACCAGGGATCGAACCTGAAGCCTGGGTATGTGCTCTGACTGGGAATCAAACCTGCAACCTGATAGGTGTACAGGGTGATGCTCCAACCAACTGAGCCACCTGACCAGGTCACAGTGGCTTCTTTATTGCTCTCCTTGCTTCCCTCTTAGCCCTCTAAGTCCCTTCTCCACACAGCAACCAGAGTGGTCTTCTCGAATATAAGGCAGTTCTTTTTTTCTTCTTAAATATATTTTTATTGATTTCAGAGAGGAAGGGAGAGGGAGATAGAAACATCAATGAGAATCATTGATCGGCTGCCTTCCGCACGCCCCCTACTGGGGATTGAGCATACAACCCCCACATGTGCCCTTGGTCGGAATTGAACCCAGGACCCTTCAGGCCTCAGGCCATGCTCTATCCACAGAGCAAAACCAGCTAGGGCCATGCTTATTTTTTAAATAACACATAGCTCTATACAAAATTTATTTATTTTCTTATTTATTGACTATCTCTTCAGTCGAGAAGGGTACTTACTGTCTTCTTCATTATTTTATTCTCATCACTTAGAATGGTGCCTGGCACCTTAAAAGGTGCTCAATAAATATTTGTTGAATGAGTAAATGTCGGATGAAAGAGACCGCCTCGGGAACTAGTAAGATGCTATCAAGAAAGGCTGCATCAATCTACTTCCTTGCCAACCGTGTAGAATAGTGTTCTATGCCTTATACATCATTCCAATGTTAGGTTTACTGACCTTTTTAAATTGGCAAGGAGTGCGTTGTGTCAGTTCTGTAGTTGTAAATGTAGTTTAAAATGTCTATGGTTTCAAACAAGAGGTCAGCTCCTTAGACGTCAGTGCTGCTAGAGCGAAAGTGCCTGGATTCTGCTATTTTAAAGGATCCCTTTCGGGACTGCGGCGCCTTTTGTCCTGACCACGTGTGTTCCTTAGGCGCCCCCGGCCCGCCCGCCAGCCCTTCGCAGTCCAGGAACCAAACCCCGCGCCCGGCACCCCGCCCACCCGCGCATGCTCCCTCCCACCAGAGCCCGGAGCCCAGGCCCCG